CATAGATCCTTGGAAGGGATTCTCAGCCCCTCTGCAGACGGAGATGAGCAAATCTCCCTGAACACTCCACCAGCAATGGAGCCTCACTGTCACAATATTGTCACAGTAAAGCTGGCGTGGACTGGACAAGGTAAGCCTGACCATAAGACAAATCCAATTTGGCTAGCCTAGTTCATGCCAGAACGAGTCCCTGGATAAGTTACAGGGGACCCTCCGCCATCCCATTCAAGCTTAGTAGAAAGCACATCGCGGGCCAGAGATCTGGGTGGAGAGAGATCCCAGCCAATGAGCTATCTGAGCCCGGGAGTTTTGAATCGGGTTCATAAGTAAGTTCCAAACAATAAACAAGGCTGTTTGTCTGATAAACAGTAGACACAAATCTGTTTCCTCCACCCACGACCGGCATGTCACAGGGTGCAATTGGAGTCTTGGCTTCAGTGGGTGGTGCTGCCGTGCTGGAGGGCAGAAAGGCTCTGCAGAGGGATCTGAACAGCCTGGAGTGATGGGCCGAGGCCAAGTGGAGGAGGTTCCCCAGAGCCAAGTGTGGGGTCCTGTGCTGGGGCCACAGCAGCCCCTGCAGAGCTCCAGGTCTGGGGCAGAGGGGCTGGGAAGGGCTCTCTGGGAAAGGCCCTGGGGGGGCTGGGTGAGAGCAGCTGAGCAGGAGCCAGCAGGGCACAACTCCCTGAAGGGGCAGGGCTGGCTCTGACTTTTTAAAGACATGCTGTTCCAAGAGGCCTTGCTTTTTCTTTAATTTAATACTGCCTTTTTTTCTCTTTGCCTCAGCAAATCGAAAGGTTTTTCTTCTCAAAGCAGTTCCTTGGAGGCAGACAAGATTCAGCAGAAATCATCTCTGCCAGTGACTGTTTTCAGCACAGGCTGTACTTGCCCAGCTGAGGCTGTGACGGGCAAGGAAACGTCCCTGCAATGTCCCTGTGGCTCCGTGCCTGCTACAGTCTCTGGTGCTAAATTCTCACTCGGCAGACACTGAAAGATTGGAGCTAAAATGTGGACCTGATTTTCTGAGTCTGAGAGAGTTTTCAGCATGTCAGTGAAAAGTCCTCTTCCAAAGGGAAAGTCTCTTGAGAACATTTCTCTCTCAAGGACTATTTTTGTAAATAGTTTATGATTCTCAAAACCATATTGTACAGCTGTGATGAGTGTGTTTACTCTTGTTCCACCAATGAGACTAGAGAGGTGTTGTTCCCTTTACCAATCATGTTAAACCTGTATCAGAATACCTTATACAAGGGGCTGAAAAGTTCCGAAGAAAAGCCCTTCTGATGATCCTCTTTCTGCTGTGGAAACGAACTCATGCTCCTTATTTTGTGCCCAACAGCAACACTGAAAGATTTCCTCTCCCAACCTGAAGAGGAAATGGACAGGAGACATCGATATTTAAAAAATCCCAACAACACAAACAAAAAGTCCAGTCCTCAGGGGGCCAGGCTTTGTCCATTATTTACAGGCTCACAGAGTAGATGAGGAGTGACAATATTTAGTCAATGGAGAAGTGTCTACATGTGCAGAGGGGAGAGCAAGCAGTCAGTGGATCCGAGTCTTTCTCCAGAGAAGGAGACAATGGAGGGAGTGGGAAGGAAAGGGTTAAACACAGTGGATGGTGAGAAGGGGGTGGATTCCCTCAAGGGACCTGGCAGCCAGGAATGCCAAGGGCTGGAGAATGTCAGTGGGGGAAACCCCCTCAATTCTGTCTATAGCTCTTTATCCTCCTCTGTTCTGGGAAGCAGAATCTGTTCCACATCCCATCAGTCCCAATCCCCATCCCACCCCTCCTGGGGGTTTTGGGGCTTCTGTGGGATTGTGTATTTTGGGGTGTGATTGAGGATTTTGAGGTGGGATCAAGCCATTTTGAGCCTTTGGCAACTCTCCAGCTGGGGGCATCAGGAGCACCCGGGGGGGCTCCAGCCAGACCCTGCCCCCTCCAGCAAAGGGCTCACACTGATATGCGGAATAAAAGGAACTCTGTAACTCACAGAGTAGTTATAAGAGCAGGTATGAATTTATTCAGCGCTGAGGTGCATGGGGGATATCTCCTCCGAAAGCATGCACACCTTTTTGATTGGGTTTTCCTTTTTTATCTTTTACAGACTTGGTTTACACGATACGGCTAATATATATTAACTTCCTAACCCCGCCTGTCCTCACTTCATATTACAATTAGCTCCATGCCCCTTTCAGTCCTTTGGCCACCTTTTGGGAGTTTAAATCCTTCCGACTCAGGGTCCGAGGAATCTCCTTTATCCTGTGGTGCCTTTGTCTTTGCATCTTGTTTGTGTATTTCAGCTCCTTATCTCATCTTGCAGTCTGACCCTTTTTCCTGTTCTGGTGGATCAGGGTGTCAGGGTATGGTTTTTGTCAAACCCCCCTTTTAGTCAAGTATTTCTTCTCAATTCTTAATTTCTCTGTTTCAACACAACCCTTCATCCTGGCCCCAAAATCCCTGGGGATCCACATCCATCTCTGCATTCCCCTCTCTGAGATGCAGTTGATGAAGTGACACTCGAACTTCCCCATCTCCTGGGAAACGTCTGTGTGTGCAGGACACAGGTCCAGGAATGCCTCCCCAGTACCAAGTAGCCAAGAGCTCCGGGACAACTCCGACTCCACAACCCCAGTGCCCCACGGCCGCCATGGGACCCTTCTTCCCACGGTCCCAGTTCCTCTTTTTTACCCCTTTCTGTATTTCCCTCCTCCTTTCCCATAACTCTCCAGTCGCCAGCCAACATCTGTTTGGCGGTCCCACCTCCCCATTTCCCTTTTTCCCTTTCTCTCCCCACCGTTCCCACCGTGCCACTTCCCTTCCCTGCCCTCCCGCCCACCCAAGAGCTCCGCGCCCACAGCCTGGGGCACTTCCAGTGCCACCAGCAGGGCCCTGCCGGCACGGAGCCCCGGGTTCCCACAGAGCAGCTGCTCAGTTCACCTCCAGGCACTCCAGAGCTCGCCGCTGCAGTTTCTCTGAACTAAGGAAAGGGGAAAAAATGCTTTGTTTGCCTGGTCCAAGCAAGATTTTCAGCCAAACAGAAAACCACGGTGGTCAAAGAGAGCTGCAGAAAACCCGAGCAGCGAGGCTTCAAAATGCCTGCGCAGCGAACAAGGATCCTCTCACTGCCCTGGCCCCCCACATATCCTGTCCCAGGCTCCCAGGTTTAAAGATACAAGAACCATTCTTTGGGCACAAAGCAGAGGATCAGGGCATGTACCATCACAATAACTCACTCCAAGAGAACTGTATATACAATGATCACATGTATGTATCTATCTATAAAAGCATGGATACAGCAATATGCATGTAGGACAGAGGACAGGAGTGGAGAGGCTGAACAGACACCAGGGGAGATGTGGAATGTACAGACAGAGCAACCTCTCCAAGGGCTTTAACCTGATTCTCAGCTTTTCCATGTTTCAAAGGCTTTGACTGCTGGATTTGCAATTACTGAGATCTCACCGTGAAAAGCAGAGCAGCCTGGAACCAGACACGGCTGTTGGAGTCAAAGTCTGGACTTGGCACACCTCAGGTTTGAAACTATATTGAATAAAAGACTCCATTACCCACAACCTTTCCCAGACCATCCCTCCTCACACATAACAAAATGCAGTGGAATTCTTTCTAACGGGTAAAACATAAAGTAAAATGAACATTGAAAATGTTCCCCATAAAAACTCACATTGAGAAAATACAGAACAATGAAGTGTGTCTAGAAAAACCTGCTGTCATTTCTCAGGTATTTGGCTCAGTGTCAGTTCAGAGCCAGGCTCTGTCTCCCAGGTGCCCAAGTCCCCGGGCCAGCTCTGAGCAGCCTCTCCCAGCTTTCCAGCGCAGCTTTGCCCCGGTTCTGCCCCGGGCAGGCACTCGGTGTTTCCCCACAGGTGGTGCCCTTGCCCTGCTCAGCTCCCTGTGCCCTGCAAAGGCACGGAGGCTGCACTCGGTGCCCCTGGGTGCCACTGACCGAGGCAGGGATGAGCCCTGAGGCACAGGCAGAGCCCTGAGGGACACCCCCTGTCCCTGGGCTCCTGCGGGACACGGAGCCACTGCTCACAAGGCCCTGGCACGACCGGCTGGCCAATTCCTCCTGCCCTGAACAGCTCGGGCTGCAACCCCAGGGCTCTGCAGGCCGGGCTGGGGCTGTCAGCTGGGACCGTGGCCAAAGCCTCCCAGGGCTCTGGGCATGGCCAGGGCTACAAAGCCACAAGTCCAGGGCTGCTCCATGCCGGTTCCAGTCTGTCCCTCTGGGGTTGGGTGCCGGGTGTGGCCCTTTGTGACACGGGCACCTGTCAGGGCCCTTGGTGGTGCAGGACATTGTGGTGCTGTTGTGAATGAGAGAGTTTGAGATCTCTTAAAAATCAGTGGCAAGGCAATGAGCAAAAGTCAGATTTAATATTTGGCAACAAAACACAACAAGTTCCTTGGCAAGATTCACTCTACTGCCTACAGGACAGCTAAGGCACAGCAAGGGAAAACAAGCAACAACAAAACCAAACAAAAACCAGGCAACTAAAACAGACATGAACTGAGAATTCTCTAGGGGGATGTGGGTAAGTGTGTCATGTTTAGGTGCATGGGACAAAGGACAGTGAGGGCATGGATTAAAAGGAACACGGCCTAAAAGTTTGACAACACTGAACAGTGAAATGAATTGGGCAGGACTACAGATCATTCTTAGTGCCTTTATTTGAAGAAGCAGCTTGGGGAGGGGGGGGGTGGGGGAAGCAGTCACACACATCACCATTGCTCTCAGATTCCACGCAGAGGAGAAAAAGGTTGACTTTGCCACACAGCAGACTCAGAGCTTCCATCCTCATGAAAATCCACAGCAATACTTGACTTCTTTGACTCAGAGTCCAGGATGTCATCCTGGTCGAATTCCTTCGTGGTTATGTCAGCTCCTGGGAGGAAGTCAGGGCACTCCTCTGGGTCTTCCTCATTTGATGGCGCTGTTTTTATTTCTTCTTTTTAGTGTGGCTCATTGTCTTTGGGTTCTTATCAGTCTGTGTGCGTCCCATGAGTCTCTGGTCTCTCTCGTTTACATATAAGCCCTTATGTCATCCTCCTCCTCAGGGCTGGGGACCCCAATTTGGGAAGCAGCGGCGGTGATCTCCCGACGGGACAGGGACATAACAATGAAAGGTAAGTACAACCAATACATAACAAGAAAAGAATTAACAACCTGAACTTGAAACAGACAACCAGTCTACAACAAAACACTGACCAAGGTTTAGCACTCGCATTCGAGTTCTCTAAATTATTTCTCACAAGCAGCACTTTAACTTCTACTTTAATTTATAACTTAACTTATACCTCAGCCCTACAAATTCAACAGAGGAACAACACTGAACTTATACCTAACTTAACTTATAACTTAACAATCCAATAGAGGAATAATACTTAACTGCATTTAACCTGACTTATAGCTGTAACTTCCAAGTTGTACTTGGCAACTTAACAGAAAAACTTAGCTTATAACTTACGTTTAACAACTTAGCAAAAGAACAACACATAGCAGCATTTAAGTAAGTTCATAACTATAACTGAACCTTGCTTACAGGCCCAACTTTCCTATCCAAGGTACTTAGACACTTAAGAAAGCAGTATTTCTCCCAGATTTGCTATAGTATATGTGCAGGGGCACACACACAGTCACTGCAAGAGAGGTACCTGTGAAAAATTCCCCTCAGAGGTCAGTGGAATCCTCACTTCAGATGCTTTTGCATCTCCCACTGGGCGAAGGACTGGGCCTTGAGGAGTGAGGGTATGGGCTCCACTTGTAGGGTCTTTCTCCAGTGTAGATCTTGCGGTGATTGATGAGGTCGGAGCTCCCCCTGAAGCCCTTCCCTACTCCCACATTCCTAACAAAGAAAACAAGAAGAGAACCCGAAATATCAGGAGTTCCCAAGAAAGTTTGAATAAAACCCACATGAATATGCATGAGCCTCAGGAATTGAAGTGCGGAATAAAAGGAACCCTATAACTTGCAGAGTAGTTATAAGAGCAGGTATGAATTTATTCAGCGCTGAGGTGCATGGGGATATCTCCTCCAAAAAGCATGCACCCCTTTTTGATTTGGTTTTCTCTTTTTATCCTTTACAGACCAGGTTTACACGATATGCCTAATACATATTAATTTTCTAACCCCGCCTGTCTTCACTTCATATTACAATTAGCCCTGTGCCCCTTTCAGTCCTTTGGTCGCTTTTTTTTTTTTTCTTTGGAACTTTAAATGCGTTTCTTCCGGCTTAGGGTTCAAGGAATCTCCTTTTTCATGTGGTGCCTTTGTCTTTGCATCTTGTTTGTGCATTCCAGCTCCTTATCTCATCTTGCAGACTGACTCTTTTTCCTGTTCTTGTGGATTAGGGTGTCAGGGTATGGTTTTTGTCAGACACCCCTTTTAGTTAAGCATTTTGTCTTTGTTTCAGAATGATATAGCATAAAGACAACACAGTTTCAAATCTCCAGTGTGCTCTCTGGCTAACCAGCCAGAGACACCCCAGCACTGGATATTTTTGTCCCTTCTTTTATCCCCTATTAAACTTTTTAAAAATTCTAAAGCATGAAGCTTATTTTTCACAGCATGAATTTTCATTTCCTCCTAATTGCAATTGTAATTTACTGGGAAGGGATTTGATGGCTAAATGGGGAATGCAAATTAACATTGCAAAAGGTGATACAGAGGCTGGTTCTGTTGTACCTCTGTGTCAAATGTCTGGAAGAGCCTAGGCTGAAGTGAACCCACAAGTGTGGGCAGCCCCAGGGAAATTGGCAAAATTAGATATGGAACCTCTCCAAATTTCCCTAAAGCAACCAGGACAAGAGGTGTCGAAAAGCAATCCCCTGTTCCAAGGGAGGGAAGGAAGGGCTCACAGCCTGTCTGGGAGTCCTGCTCAAGGCACGGCTTGGGGAGCCAGGGATGGCTCCCTAGAATGCTCCTATCCTGCCAAAGAAGAAATCCAATGGAATCCACAGAATGCTGCAGGACCCAAGAATAAGAAATGAGATGATGAAACCGAGGCACCCCACACTCTCAGATCCTTACACCAGCCTAAACCAGGTGCCCTCCTCACACTGCTGCCATTCAGAACTTGATGCAAAAGATGCTTTCTGGGGATCTGCCCACTCACAGAGGATGCAAACACAATTCTGCCTTGGGCTGGCAACAAGAGCTAGAAGGGAAAATGCTCAAGACATGGACGGTCCTTCTGCAGGGATGCACGGAAGCACCGGCCTGATTGGGGCAAGCCTTGCAGGAAATATCAAAGGAATTGACCTCACCCCCAGGGACTGGCTTAATGCAGGATGTGGATGACTTGATCCAGTCAGGAGGACAAGGAGAAGAGGTAGAAGAAGCCGCTGTGCAATGCCTTAATTTTCAGGCTAAAAAGTACCTTTGAGTATTTGGGGAGGGAAAAAAAGTGCAAATAGTGGAGAAAAAGGCTAAATATTTGGGACATTTTTTGACTGAAAGTTTGTGGTGAATTGACCCAGAGAGGGTCCAGTGAATCTCAGAAGTAACATTAACTAGCTCTAAAACGAGCTATGACGATTTTTAGGATTATTAGGGAATTGCAGGACCTGAGGATTCTCTGCTCTTGCCAGAACATTGTATGACTTTTTATCCCCAGACAGCCACAGTGTTATGGTGTGGACATGATAAAGAGAACATGACTGCATTCAAATGACAGAGCTCCAGACTCAGGCTGGGAGAGATTTATGAGACATTCCCTGGACTGAGGGAGAAAATGTGGTTTTGGATGCGGTTTCAATGGCAGCAGAAGGGAAAAGAGTGACAAGACTCGCTATTGTTAAGGAAAGGGAATTAGACAAAGCACTGGTTACTGCCCCCATGGTCAGCTCAACCTGCCGAGCTGGGGGTGCTTGTAAGAGCCTGGCACTGAAATGCCCTGAGCAGGAAGGTTTAAATATCTTCTGCTGACACCAGGGCAGCTAACAGAGTGGTAAAAGCAATTCTGACTTCCTCAGCAATCACTGGATCAGTTATCAAGGGATTTCTAAAACAAATAATTCCAAGAAAAGGGGTTGTGGAAGCAACAGACTCAGACATAGAAATTTATTCTACAGGTGTAGTGGTTTGAATTTGCCAATTTGACTTTCCCGGACAGCACACCAAATAATGTGGTGCGTTTAGTGCTGGTTAAAACCACCAGCACACTTACTCATTTCTTGCTGTGAGATATGGACTTAAAAGATATAAAGAAACTTTATTAACAGGAATATTACAAGAATAAGAAGCATTAGAATAAAACCTCCAAAACACCTTTCCTCTCTCTGCCCAACTTCTTTTTCTTTCCCACCTGAAAGTAGAGACAAAACCTGGGATGTTAAATCAGTACTAACTATACAATAGTCTTTCATCAGTTCTTGTAGGGAGAGGACTTTTCTCTTGCCATGTCATGGAGGCTTCTCCACAAGAAACAGCTTTTTTGTAGCTGTTCATTCACACAAATAGCAGCTGCCTTGGAAAAGTTCTGCATTGTGAAATTCCTCCCATTTTCACAGCCCTACTACAGGTGTATCTATGGGCCATGAACTTATGGGGTATTATTTTAAGGATGAGTTGTTCAGAGGCAAAATTTCTTTCATCTGTCTCTGTGATCATCTCTAGGAACAGAGATTTTCTTCTCTCCCTGGGGACAAAGTCTTCATCACTCTCATCTCTCCCTCTCTGTTCAAGTTTCTTATGGGATCACAGCTACTTCAACATCTGCTTGGCCTCATCAATGGATGCCTCTGCTCACATCTACAGTTTGAATACGTCATCCCCTCATACTCTCTCATGAATTAAAGGAGATACTTCAGTATATCATTGTCCATCTCCATGGCCCTACCAAAAGAATTTTCAACCCAACATTAAGGCATATCCTCACATGCCATCTACAGCTTGACTCTTTCTTTACTGACCTCAGTGTTTTCACGTTGTCTTCCACATGTCCCCACTTTGTCCTTTTCTCTCCAGGGGAGAACCGTGGTCTGTAGGTCTCATCTGTGCACTGAAAGGGTTAAATCTTGTCAGGCCTGCAGATGGTCATAGGCCGTGGCCGCAGCAGTCATTATGATAGATTTCAGGCTGTGTTGAGCCCCTCCCTCTGTCTGTCAGCCGCTGGGAGCCATTGGTGTGGGCCAGGGGGGAGCATAGTGTTGGCAAGATGTCAGCAGCTGTGGCCCGGCCCAGAGCCCCCCGGCCTCCTGCTCCCGGCTTGCGAGACTGCTGGGGTCTGACCTGACCCCCCCAGGCCGCACAGGCCACACAAATGTCCCAGCGCTAAATCTAATGTTTCAGCTACCCAGGGATCAAGCTAGGGCGATTGTTGCCACCTGTCCCAATTGCCAGACGTATCAAGTTCCATCTGTTGGGAAGGTAGAATTAGAAAGAAATTATAAATATGATTTTGTAGCCAGAAAGGCTAAGGAAGAAATACAAATGATAGCACGGTTTGAATAATTCAAAGAAACCAACCGGGCTGGTATGCCAGAACACATTCTTTCCTGCAATAAAACCAAGCTGAGACCCCTCATCCCAGCCTTATAAGGAAAGGTCTGAAGGACCCTGAGATAACTAAAAATATGCAAAAATAGCGATTTCTATAGGTTGTACACAAATGTTACTATATTAGTATACTTAGAAAGATTGGTTAGTTAAGGAATAGAATATTCAAAGGTATAGGTTATATAAGTAGTGGTATAGAAGAGCTCGCTCTCTTTTCTCTCTTTTCTCTCTCTTTTCGCTCTCTCTTTTTTCTCTCTTGCTCTCTCTCTCTACCTCTCTACCCCACGCCCTGAAATAAACTTCTAACACTTAACTCGATTATAGAGGTCTTTGCCGTGTCTCTGACCGTCCCCAGAAAGCGTCTCCTACACCATCCATGAATTCCGGGGTTAATCCCTGAGGTCTCAACAGCTGCCAAATGTGGCAGATGCATGTAACCCACATTCCTTCATTCAGAAGAACAAAATATGTCCATATGTCCATAGACACATTCTCAAGTGCTGTGTTTGCCTCAGCCCACACGGGAGAGAATGCAAAGCACACCATCAGGCATTTTCTCCTTGCATTTGCCACCTTGGGAGTCCCACAACAAATAAAAACTGACAATGGCCCTGTTTACACCTCTCACAGACTGAGGGGCTTTTTCAATCAGTGGGGGGTAAAGCACACCACAGGCATATCTCACTCTTCCACAGGGCAGTCAGTTGTGGAAAGGACACATCAGACACTCAAGAGAGTCCTTGATCAACAGCGGGGAGGAACAGAGACCATCCGTTCCACTGAGAGTCTCTGCAAAGCTCTTTATGTCATCAATTTCCTAAATTGTTCATCCTCAGAGCCTGACCCACCCCATGATTTGGTACTTCTCCAATTCAACCCAAGCTAAGCTTACTGAGAAGCCCCATGTGTTGATCAAAGATCCAGAATCACAACAAACATCAGGACCTTTCCCACTGATTACCTGAGGAAGGGGGTATGCATGTGTGTCCACACCATCTGGTCCCAAATGGCTCCCAGGAAAAAATATAAACCCTTACTTGGGCCCCTTAAACACCACATCTGTGCCAGGCCATTCATGTCCTACTGAGACCCACACAGGTCCTCAAGAACAACAAGCCAATGCTGCCTGGCAATGGAGACCTTGCCGAAAATTGCCGCCACAGAAAACTGCTCCACTTATCACCAGATCTCAAACAAGATCAAGTTCTGCACTGGATCAGAGCTGAGACACTGCTGCGCCTGATAAGCAAAGTTCCTAAAACTCCCTTCCCCTCTCCCTTCCTTATCGCTCTCCTCCTCTTTCCTCTAAAACCTTTACCCATATGTTGTGGGGATTTGTGAGCCCCCTATCCAGGAAAGTTCTAAATCCCCTTGTAGGGATGCCACTATGATTTAATGGTTGAGGCCTCTCCTATAATGTCTCCCTGTTGATGATACATGTACGCCAGTTCTACCCTTCCCCCTGGCTTGTTGGCCAGCCTCTTTTCCCTCCCCCTGGGCGGTTCCTTCCCTGCCTCCTTTCCTCAGGCCTTCCCCTATCCCTAGAACCTTCTCTCATCCTTGGATCCCCATTGGTCCGAGTTCTCTAATCCCTCCCCTACCTCAGACTGATTGGCTTTGACACCCTGGACCCTCCTCTGTACCACTCTCTGGCCCTAACCTCATTGGTCACAGTTGCTCTCCACCCCCAGTACAAAACATGTTGCACAGTGCTGTTCTGGGCCCTTTGTCCCTGGACCCTTCACGAGTCAGAAGAAATAAACTCTCCTCCTGGAACCCATCCAAAGGCCCCTCTCAACTCTTTGCCACTGACTCCAATTGCATCTATCCTGCTATCCACTCAGCTGCGTGAGTGTCCGTGTGGGTGTGTGGCGCTGTCCGAAGCGGCTTTCCCAGAGATGCTTCTGGGAAGGTTGCGGTACTCTACCATCGACCCTGCGCCGCAACAATATGTTACCCTCTTTCGTAGATGCACTGAAATGCACCTTAATGCTGCTGGTGACTGGTCATGTGTCCCCTCTGCACAGAATGACCCCACCAGCAAATAACTACCTCAACCCCAATACCTGATCCTTTTATATAGTTTTTTAGAAAAATCGGGGATTGGATGGGGGAATTGACCTTGGAATTATCCCCCCTTCCTTCAAAACTAATCTTCTTTTGTTTAAAACCCTACTACAGACAGCCCAACTACCTGGTAGTATGGCGAACCAAATCCCCTTGAAGTTCTTTTGGATGTTCATTGGAACATCAGTTGTGGATACCTGGCTGGTAGCACAGCCCAAAGAAAATGTATGGATCACCCTCACAAAGACTCTTAAGCAAGACCGTGTGTGCCTGTCCATGGGCAGCACCACCAACCCTCTATCATCCTGCCTGGTAGGGGTTCCTTTGAAGCCCCACGAATATCCTTTCACAGGGAAAGATTCCAACCCGGTAGATACTTGGGACGAGTGGACAAGGATCTTGCCTCATGCACCAGAGGAACCCCAAGAATTGGAACTTCTGAGGTCCTCCCAGGCCACTTATTGTGTAAATTTTGACTATTGTCCAATAGGCAAGGCATGGCCTGCCTCTGAATATCATAGTGCAATCCAGACAAAGAAAAATGTTTTGCCCAGCAATAAAATTTATAATCAATTTAAGTGATGCAATTACACCAGCAGCACACAATCTGCCTCCTCTCGCCATCTCAAAATGCTACCCTGAGGAGTGTTCTTGATCTGTGGGGACAGAGTGTGAGCAGGAATCCCCTCCTGACTCCAGGGAGATCCCTTACACTTGGCCAGCTTACCATCCTAATTCCAAATGCAACCTTGATTTACGATTGGCCAAAAAGGAATGAATTGGCCCACCAAAAAAGAGAATTCACTCAATTGAATGAAAATTGTGATAGCCAAATCGAATATTGGTCTTACACAAAAAGGGTAGTGATGTTAGCTTTGTTACCTTTGGTAGCTGCTGCTAAAGCCCTTGGTGAGCTTTCTCATCTGGAGTGTTGGCTTGGTAAACAGGCCAATTTGACCTCTGCTGTATTAAGTGACCTTTTAGCGGATGAAGAGACTCCAAAACTGAGCTGCAATAGACTTCCTGCTCCTTGGCCATGTACACAGCTGTGAGGAGTTTGAAGGGCTGAGCTGCTTAAATCTATCGAGCCTCGGCAAAGGCATCCACGCCCATATCCAAAGACTCCAGAACATGGTTTGGGAACTCAAAACCGAGAAGGAACCCCAGTGGTTTGAAGACATCTTTGGAACTTAGGGACTCAAGGGTTGGGTTGGTTCTCTTCAGATATATTAAGGATATTATATTGTTATTGTTATTATTATTGTTATTATTATTATTAATAACAATAAGAAGAATTAATTATTACTAATAAATAATATGTATTATTTATAATTATTAAGAAATATCCTTTGGGTTTTTAGAATCATTTTCATTTTTCTGTGTATGTTCAGTTATTTCAAGAAATTACTTAGGTCTCTGGGAGAGGCTTTTTTATTAAATAAAGAAGGGGGAGTTGTGGGGGCCGAAAAGTGAGCCAATGAAGGCATTGTGGTACTCCCTTGGAGAGCCAATCTTTGAGCAAGATGCTTTTGCTCGTAATGAGAAAGTGTCCCACCCAGAGACCTTTGCAGTCTGTATGTTGATTTGTTGTATCTCATTGGTTTTCCCCCTGTCACTCTACCAAGTTACTTGTATCCTATTTGTTACTAGTTTCTTCCTGCCCCTCTCTTTCCCTATATAAACCCCAGTTTTCTCCCTGTTCAGGGAGCTGCTGTCCCTGGCTCCCTTCACAGAGGGCCCTGCACTCTGTGGATTGCCACACAGCGCTTCAGTCCCTCTCTCTGCATTGCCTGAGAGCTGCCGCTGAGCTGAGCTGAAAATCACTCACTGGGCTAGGGATGTGCCTGTGCCCCTGGGCTGTCTTTTTAAAGGCGCTTCTGCAGGGAGGTCACGGCCCCCCTACCATCTACTCCGCCATAGCGCCTCACTGTCGTTCTGATTGGGAACGGCGGTAAAGAACGACACGGACTCTCAAGGGAGTCACAACAGGAGAATCTCTCTAGTTTATTGCTCTAGGCTTGTCTTATAGACAGATATGTGGAAAATACAGAAAAGAAACTCTTATTGGTTAGCAAAGTGCTACATCACCATCATTGGTCAGGGGGGCTCACCACCCCCCTGACTTTCTCCTGCAAGGAAGATAAGGAATGGAAAACAACACCTGCAAGGCTGTTTTGTGTCCCTGAGGATTGTTTTTAAATCCTCCTATGAATTTTCTCAGGCTAGCTTCTCAAGCAGGACTGAGAGGCCATGGGCCTGCAGTTTCTGCAGCTCCCTGCAGCCTGTTCCAAAGCTAGCATCCATACCTCACCACCGACTGACAGCTGCCATCTCTCCTTCAGCCATGCATGTCTGTCTGACAACGTCCTGCAAAGTTCCTCCATCCATGTATTCCATCACCAGCCAGAGATCTCCATCAACAAGGAAGCTGGAAGAGGAGAACAATGGCACAGAGATGAATGTGCATTGCTCAATTCCCCCAGGGAAAAGCCTGGAGTGGAGTTTTGTTCCCAGGTCACTTGTCAATGAGGACAGACTCAGATGGAGAGACATTCCTGCCAGGCTGAACAGGCCTTGGAATCTGCCCAGGCTAAAGGAGAAGGAGGCACCTGGGAGAAAGGAGAGGCCTTAGATGGCAAGCAGGTGAAAAATGCACTTTAGCAACAGCCCAGCTCAATGTGGAACCACAACACTTGCCCCCAGCTGCTTCAGCATCTGAGCTCATCAGTTCCACCATTCCCTCTGGAACAAGGCAACACAACTTCCAGAGTTATCCAGGGGAGGAGGCCGTGCAGCACTTGGGGCAAAAGCAGTCAAATGCTTGGAAAACCTTGCACAAAGTCCCTTCAGAAATAGGCAAGGCCATTGAAAAATGGACAAATGAGGCATTTCTGGAAACAAGAACCTGGTCGTCCAGGCACCTGCAGCAATGGGAAAGGGCTGGGAAGAAGCAGCCAAGGAAAATAATTTCTGCCATGGTTTATCAGCACTTGCTGTAAAACACAGCAAATGGGATCAACTTGAAGAAAAAAACCAAAGCAAAGCAACAAAAGCACATGGAAGGAGTGAACTGCCAGGCTGTTGTTCTGGGAAGATATGGCCGGGTCAGGCATTTTCAGAACAGGCTACAGACTGGGGATGCCAGGAAAGATGAACGCAGGGCCCGTGCACGGGAGAAGACCTGAAGCACTCACCTGTCCAGAGAGTTGACAATGTTGGGGTTCTTCTTGTCCTTCAGGACCACGACCTCATCCACAGCTCGTTCTCTGTTGTGCCCTCTGAGACTCATTTTCTTGATGGCCACCTGAAGGGACATTGCAGACCTTTAACTGGAGCAGTCTGTGGCAGGAGGCCACAGCAAACACGGAGCGAGTCTTTTTGGAGCGAGCGAGCCGGGCTGTGCCAAACTGCCTTGGGATGGGACACCAGAGCTCAGCAAGTGCCATTCCCACAGCCCATTGCTCTGCTCGCTGGGGCTGTTACAGGACTCATGGCCAGAGACATTTGGCTCTGTAAGCTCTGCAGAAATGCTCCTTCAGCTGTCAGCCTCAAAGCTCTAACAACATTCTCTGCACCTACAGTCTTCTCAAATGGCCTCAGCACTCTTAGGATTATTATTCCAACACATTTTGCAAGCAGGAGGTAATTCTGTTTCTGTGCACACAGAGCAAAACAGCTAGGAACCCTTTAGCAATTCTATGGCATTTGGCCATGATTTCAAATGTCCCTGCTCTGTTTGGGATAGCACAACAAAGCAAACGTGCACATCCATTGCTCAGATAATCCCGTCACAGCTGCCACTGACACCAGACACAACTGCAGGGTTTAGGGAAGAGCTTTGCTCTGGACATCCATCTTCTCATTTCTTTCCCTCTCTCTGTGCAAACAGGTGCAGTAGGGCTATATCTTGGTTTAGAAGACAGGTGTCTGTTAGGGAGGGCAGGAGCCTCCCTTGGAATGAAAAATGTAAAACCTCCTCCCTCCAAATTACTACAATTTTGAAATTAAGGGGCTCTCAAGTGTCGCTAAATGACATTAAATGATTCACACAAACACCTCTCAGTGTCAGAACAGAAAAGCAGCACCTTTATTCTCTGACTCTAGTATTTATAGATTCTCGACAATGACCAGGGATTGCATAATTAAGTTACCATCTTCCTAAGCACACTGTTCATGCGAAATGTCCATCAAAAGATGTTTCTTAGAAGGAATGTGATAAACAACTTATGTTTATAGAACTTTCATGGGAAAGTAACTAAAACTATGAAAACAATATCGGAAGGTTTTAATTTCCAGGGCAACACTCATGCAAAGATCTGGGGATAGGAACACAAGTTCTTCATTAGTATGTAAAACAATGAAAGAAACAACAATAACTATAGCATTAATAACAAAACAGAACCAAAGACCTTGTGACAACTTTCTCAGCTGATACAGGAAAGGATGGAGGAGAGGCTTTGCTTCACACATCCCCTGAGGGCACTGGATGCCAGTGCTCCTGCCGGACTCTGCGGAAACGCCCAGCTGGAATGGCAGAAATGAGTAGAAATCCCAGGCCAGAGGATGAGGTGTATTAAGCTCTGTGGCTGTGGCTGGCACTGCAGCAGTCCCAGCGGGACAGAGCGGGGTGCAGGGGGCCCACAGACGAAGAACAGAAGAAAAAGAAGTTCTGTCTGGGTCACGGCAAACTCCCTTCTCCCAGTAACTGCAGCTCTAATTGTGTCCTCCTCTGAAGCCCTAAGGAAAACCAGCTGCCCCTGACCTTCCTTCTTCCTGCCCCTCTTTCCCCTTGGACCTAGCCAAACTCTGTGTTTCTCAAGCACTCAGTAAGTACCATGTTACAGATACATAATATCATATTGGCTTTTCGCAAGTATTAAGATGAATGCTGTGTGTATAATGTTAAAATGGCTTTGCTGTAATAGTCGATACAGTATGTTTGAACTGTCAGCTTAGTTAGGATAACCTCCAGTGAAGAGATGATGGGGACCCTGCTGATTATCAACACTCACCATCTGTGGAAAGAAGGAGCCAAGACCCAAATTAAAAGGTGATAAGAAGAAGATTAAAACCACAAGCCAAGAAACACGCATGCTCTAAAAAGGTGGACCCAAGGAGTGGCCATGCTAAACACTTCCTGGAAGATGTAAAATAGTTAATAGAAAAGTTTGAATATGCATAAAGGTCTATGAATATGCATCAGGTTGATGTGACAGAAATTATATATAAAGGGTGTTCTCAAAACACCAGGTGTGCTTTTGGCAGAGTGCCATGCATCTGGCTATTTGAACCCTTTGCTTTATTGTTTTTGTCTCCTATTGTCTTTTTTTATTAAACATTTTAAAATTTACCAGGAAAGTGAACATTGTTTTTCACATACCAGCAATCAGGTTTCCCTGCAACTAATGGGTAAATATTCTATAGGTGAGAAGCAACAAAAGGTAGGACACCTAACACCCAACAGACTAAAATCCCAAACTGAGCCCAGTTTGGAAGGATGGAAAAAGTGTTCCTGTCTGAGGCTGGGATGAAGATAAATTGGGCCTCAGTCTCCAGCAGCTGATGCATTCACACTTTTAGACATGAAGACCAAGCCAGCGTGTCCTGCTCTGACAGACACCGCTGCCCTCCTTGCCTTCCTTTGGGCACTTGAGAAGGACCAAGTCTGTCCCAGCTGTGCTCTGCAGGCTGACCCTGCTCTGCCTTCAGAGGAGCAGCCTGTGCAGGAAAGCTCTGCTGGGCCCCACAGCTCCAGCCACAGCTCCCAGCAGAGGGGAAAGCCCTCGAGAGCTGCCAGACGTGCTGGGCGTGTTGACACTGACCTCTCCTCCCGTGGCCCTGTCGAGTCCTTTGGAAACGGTTCCAAAAGCCCTGGAGACAAAACAGCAGAGAAGAAAGAAGCAGCGCTTTAGGCCCTGGCAGTGAAAGCCAGCCCAGACAGGAGATCTCTGCTGCCTGCAGCGTTCACCAAACACCTGAGTGCATCCACCCTTCAAACAACAGCACAGCAGCCACCAGCCCTCTGCCATGCAAGGTGTGCAAGAGAAAACTGAGGCCCAACATGAAGGAAAAGGCCTGGAGGAAATCCCAAATGTCCACACTGAATTCCTTCAGTTCAAAACCTGAGGCAGGGGGTGGGTGTCTGAAGAACTGGAAAAGAATGTATTTCATCCTTTATATATTTCCTGCCTGAGACCTGCAGGATCCCCAAGGGCCCTGCCAGCTGGCAGGTGATGCATTTTCCCCTCGAGTGCAGCAGCTCTGTGTCTGTTACTGAATGTCTGGGGTTTGCTACCTGTGCTGAAAAGAGCACTTCTTAGTTCATCTCTGGTTTCTGTTTCTAAACCATTATGTTGATAATCCTGACTGGTGGATAGTTTTTGAAACAAAATATTTGAAAGATATCTTCTTGAGAACTGTTTTCTGATGGTCATCACATGGTGAGTTGCTCTTTTAGGCCATCTAATTGCAGGGACAGAAGATCTTCCAGGTCCCGCTCCTTGCTGCAGACAGGACACTGCCAGCCTCAGGGGCCTTTGACAGTGCCTTCTGACCACAGTTACCAATTCTGATCAGCACTGAGAGGCAGCAGCATCATACCCCAGTGTCTGAAGGGGTTTGGGGCTCTCCTGACTTCTCACTGGATCCTGCACCAGCAAAATACCTGGGCCCTGCTTGTGCAGAAGTAACTGCCTTGCGCTTACCCTTGGCCAATCTGCTCCAGTTCCAGGTATTTCTCGGCAGGCTCCCCCACGCTCATGGTGTTCCCTGAAAGAAACCAGGTGGAAGATGCTCCCTCTCAGATGAGAGCCAGAATGCAGCCCCACTCCCTGGGGCCGGGAGCCCCTTGCTCTCAGCTGGGGAAGGACAATAAATGACCCTGTGCCATTCAGCTGCAGAGCAACACTGGGTGCAGCTGATTCTGAGACACACACACACACACCCTGCTCTGGCACACAGGAACAGAGCAGACGTACTCAGCTGCATCAGGCTCCACTCCCCGCTCCCCTCTGGCTGCAGGGCTGTGCTGCTGTCAGAATGTTCAGCCCAGGATCCTGCAGCACAGGGAGCTTCAGTGTCCTCTTCAGGAGCAGAGGGAGGTTCCTCGTCCTCTTCCCAAAGCAGTGCAGGTTCCCTCTCCTCTTCCCAAAGCACTACAGGTTCCTTGTCCTCTTTCCAAAATGCTGAAGGTTCTCTGTCCTCTTCCCAAAATGCTGCTGGTTCACCCTCCTCTTCCCAAGACACAGGATGTCCTCTGTCCTCATCCCACACTGGGAGATTGCCGTCATCCTCGTCACATGCCATGGGAGCTTGGCCATGCTCATCCCACACCAGGGGACATCCACCGTCCTCGTCCCCCACCGGGAGATGTCCACTGTCCTTGTCACACACCGCGGGAGCCTCGCCGTTGTATTCCCAAACCGCGGGGTGTTCGCCCTCGTCTCCCAGAACAGCGGGAAGTTCACTGCTCTCTTCCTCCTCTTTGGCCTCCTCTTTGCAAGCAGAGGGAGCCAGAGGAGGTGCTGATGCTGCTTTGGTGCCAGAGGAGGTGCTGATGCTGCTTTGGTGCCCTGTGGACAGACAGGAGTGTGAGGGACGGGAAGTTCTATCTCAGTTATCACCTTCTTTATCCTCAGCTACACATCCAGCTGCACTAAGCAGAAATAGGGTTCAGAGCTGTTCAAACTAACAATGGGCTAAAGCCCACATTGCCACTTATTGTTGGGAATTCCATATTCCAGCATGGCTAAAGCCAGCAAGCAATCTTCTGCCTGCAAAACCAGTCCTGCAGCTCTTCAAAAGCTCTTCAGCAGAAACAGAGAAAACTGCCAGGGATCTCTTTGCTGCTGCTGCTGCTGCTGCTGCAAAGACACTGACAGGAACTTTCCTTCAGCCTCCCAGGCTGGCACTCGGCTGCCACACGCCGAGCTCACAACTTGCTGCGCAATTCTGAACACCAAAGCTTCCTTTGCCACTCACCGAAGGAGGAGCTGCTCGGGATCCACGCGTGAGGTGCCCTGCAACGGGAGAGGGAACGTGAACCAGATGCTGTTAGGAAAAAACTGCCTGTGGTGGGAAATGAGCAAGGCAAGCCCGAGAGAGCATTTTGCTTTCACAGCATCCCTCCAGGAGCCACAGGCCCTTCACACAGCAAGCAAGAGAGCAGCACTATTGGAGGGTAAAAACGCTTGTTTGCGGTGAGAGACTTCTCCAGGGTCAAGCTGTTCAAGTATAAGCAATTTATTATAAGGGTAAATAGATGGGAGACCCGTGTCCACCACCAGCCTCAGCATCCACGTGGTCAGTGGCAGGAGGGAGAGCCTGCAGAGCAGGAGAAGTGAGGTTGGGAAAGGGGAGGGAGGGGGGAAGAGAGCAACAGAGGGGAAGAGGGAAAAACCAGAGGGAGAGAGCAGGGAAGATGAGAAGGGTAGGAGCAGGGAGAGGGAGCTGAGAGTTAAGAGTGGGGGAGAGGGGTAAAGGGGTAAGAGGTAAGGGAGAGGGGTTCAGAGGTAGGTGAGAAAAGTTAAGAGAGCTAAGAGGTAAGAGTTAAGAGAGCGAAGTTCTTGTTACAATCCAATATATCTTTTTCTATAGTGAATATTCTAATTCTTAGTAACCAATCACCATGAGACACACCCACTAAAGAATTTACATCCAGCCTATGTGCTTCCCTATATTAACATACAGTGTTGCATTTTAGGCTCTACAAGCTTTCCAAGTTCTTTCCTTGCTTTTTGACCTTTGAACTTTCTATCAGCAGAAGGACATTGTTTTATCAACAGGGATTCTCCTTTAGCTGGCTAGGCTATAGTTCTTTGGTTAACCAGTACTCAGTATCCTTGGACTCAAAGCAGGCTTTCATTTCTACTTTGATTCTAGCCTTCATATTTTCAGAATCTTCTGCCAAACAATCACATTCATAAGGTTTCCCTGTTTCACCCTCCCCAACACAGCACAAAATACTGGGCTGTGTCAGCTCTTGGCTGGAGCAGCAAACGGAGGGAGTTCCAGGCTCTGCTGCCACAGACTCCCCACTTGAGGGAACAGAACCCCCCAGGCCTCATTGCAAATGCTGTGCACGCCCCGCTGGCTGCAGACACCCCCTTTTTCAGCTGCAGCTGCTGGCAGGAGCTCTCCCAAACCAACNCTCCGGCAATGGCGGCTCTCCTGCCCCACGGCCGCGCTGGGGGCGCCAGCGGGGCCGGGCTTGTCCCCGCTCTGCCCAATCAGCGCGCGCCAGAACCACGAGTGACGGCAGCAGCAGCCAATCGCAGCCAGCGCCGGGCTCTGCACACGGCACGGACTCGTGTCCCTTCGCCTGATCTCCGCCATTTCTCGGAAGCCTGGGCTGAGGAGCGGCCTCGGCGCTGGGCCCGGCCCGGGCAGGAGGCCAAGGAAGCGCCGCTGCGCTGAAGCGCCGGGAGCTCGGGGTGCCCGGGAGCTGAGGGTGCTGGGAGCTGGGGGTGAGTCCGGGACGAAGCAGGCCATGCCGGAAAGCGGCCAAAACTCTCTGACTCCTTCCTCCTTTGGGCAGGGAGCAGAATACATAAGGGAAGGCTTGAGGGTCTGGACAAGGATGAGGACAGTTCAGTCACTGGTCATGGGCACAACACACTTGACTTGGGGAAAGTAATTGAATTTATTATCAAATCTGTTAAAGCAACAGAATGAGAAGCAAAGATTTCTACGGGAACATCTTTCCCCACTTCTTCCTCTTTCCTGGGCTTAACTTTATGCCCCATTCCCTCTCCCGTCCCTACCCAGAGGCACAGGGATGGGGGTCACAGTCAGGTCATGTCACTGCCTCCCCCTGAGGGCCAGGAATCCTTGTCCTGCTGCAGCCTGGGGTCCCTCGCAGGGGCCAGAGTCCCTCAGGACCAGGCTGCTCCAGCGGGGATGGCCAGGGGGATCCCCGAGTCCGGCCAGGAGCCACTTGCATGGCTGTGCAGGGGCTTCTGCCGGGCTCGGGCCTCGGGCCCTCTCAGGCATCCCCTGCTCTGGTCTGGGCTCCTGCTGGGGCTGCAGGTGGGTCCCTGCTCCATCCCGGCCTCAGCTCCAACTCCCAGCGCTTCCAGCTCCAGGTCACCCTGTCTGCCTTTAGCTGTGCAAATTCCGTGTGTGCAGGCAGGCAGAGCTTGAGGTGAGGGGGAAAGGGAATCAGCCCAGTTCTTCCCCTATGTAGGACGACTGATATATTGTCCATACTTTGCCCAGCAGTGTCAATTTGCATTTCTAAAGCTCCCCTTCTGGCTGCCTGGAATGAAGCTTCTCTTCCAGGGCAGCCGTGGGATGACTCACATGTGGACCCCCCCACCATCTGCTATGGTTTCTCTTTTTTTTTCTCTCTTTTTATTTTAACTGTATTCTAGGAATTGTTTATGTGTTAAAGGGTCACCTTTAAAACTCTTCTAGTTTTTCAGAATGCAACCTAAGGGTGAACATTGAAAAACCTATACCAAAATTTTGCCATCACTAAGAGCCATGCACAAACATACGCAACAAAATTCCAAAGCAATTAGGTTTTTTGTACTTCTTTTCCTAGTACTAAAAATTGATTCTCACATCCCTAGCCCAAATCTAACTGACAATATAAAAGTAGGATTATTAAGAAAAAATATTCCAATGCTGTAATCTTGTCTCTGAAAGTGCAGGAAAAACAAAAACTCTCCAATAATGTCTTTAGTATTAGAGAGTCGAGGCATTATTTGATTCTGGCCAGGATGTGCAACAGAAATCATTTCATCCACAGGTAACTTGAGCATGCAGAGAAAATCATTCCATAACATGTGAATTTTACTAGATTTTTCCTAAACTTTATACAGTCTGATCCCATAGAAATCCATTGGTTTCATTGCTTCCAAGTTACGGAGTTCTCAGTATCTGATTTCCTATTGCACCTGGATTTCTTCACCTGTGATGTTAATTAGGTCTGCACTCCTGGGTTTCCTGATCAGACTTCTCCAGACCAGGTGTCTCCAGCTATGCTTGGGGCAGTGTCTGTGGTAGATGGTGGTTGATATTTGCTACTGGGCGTTGTTGTTGGGTCCAGAGAAGGGCAACGAGGCTGGTGAGGGGCTTGGAACATGAGCTCTGTGAGGAATGTCTGAGGGAGCTGGGGTTGTTCTGCCAGGAGAACAGAGGAACTTGGGTGACTTTATCACTTTCTACAACTCCCTGAAAGGTGGTTGTAGTCAGGTGGGGTTGGTCTTTCTCCAGGCAGCAACTAACAGAACGAGAGGACACAGTCTCAAGCTGAGTCAAGGGAAATATAGGTTGGATATTAGGAACAAGTTTTTAATGGAAAGAGTGATAAAGTACTGGAATGATCTGCCTGGAGAGGTGGTACAGTCACCATACCTGGATGTTTTTAAAAAAATACTGGATATGGCACTCAGTGCCATGATCTAGTTGAGGGGTTAGGGCATGAGTTGGACTCAATAATCTTGAAGGTCTCTTCCAACCTGGCCATTCTGTGAATTCTGTGTGATGTTTCGTTGATGGTCATTATCTTTGTGGGAATCTCCTGGGCTATTTCCAGTCTGTTGAGATGTTAAGCTCACCTCTGTTGAGTGGTGTAACATCCCTTAAGAAAAAAACTAAAATTTCTTTCCCCAAGGCAAAACCAAACCAAGCCTGAATTGAGAAAGAAGATTTTAACAAAATTTACACTTGGTATATTTTCCCAGAATCTAATCCCAGGCAGGGCAGAGTGTGAGTGTCATTGAGAGGCAGAGTGGAATTGTCCTGGTGCCTTCCGCAGCAGCTGTGGCGAGGGCAGGCACAGAAAGGCCTGAAGGTGCAAGAGTGAGAGCAAGGATTGTCCCGCAGTGGCTGGAGATGGCAAAGGAGGGTGGCCAGGCCGAGGATTAGAGCAGAGGATCTGTGGGCAGGCCCAGGGGCTTCCCCCGCTGGGGAGCCCTGGCTGCTGCTGCGTTGCCTTCAGTGCAGGCTCAGGGGTGGCCTCCTATGGTCCTACTGCAGCCGGGAAGTCCAAATCTCCGGGGCTTCAGAGCCCCTGAGGCGAGGCTGAGAGGTCCCCCTGTGTTCAGCTGTGCTGGGGCTGTTTCTGTGCTCAGGGACACTTGGAATGGGCCACGTCACTTGGCCACCAGAGCTGCTTCTTTCCACTGCTTCGGCAGGACCCGATGTCCTGGTTGGATGATGTGAACAGCAAAGTCCCAAGGCAGGGTCTTTGCCAGCCGAGCTTCCTGAGGATGAGATTCCACAGGCAACAGGATTTTTCCTGTAGCCTGCTTTGAATATACATCCCTTATCTCCACCTTGCACTCGGTCAGGAATTATCAGGATCAGTTAGGAATTCCAAAGATCAGTTCCAGATAATTGAATATCTGCCCTGGGTCTGGTTCTTATTCTTACTGAAGCCAATGGCAAAAGCCGTACCCATGGCATCTCGGTTTCTATCACCAGCTTCCAAAGGTGTTTCTTTATTTCCCCATTCATTCTTCCTACCTGATGGGAGCTCTGGTGGTGGCAGGGATTGTGGAGCTCCCATTGTATTCCTAAAGCTGCCATAAGCCCCTGAAGGATCTTTCCTGTAAAATGAGTTCCCCTGTCTGAGTCTGTTGCTTCCACAATCCCTTTTCTTGGAATTACTTGTTTTAGAAATCCCTTGATAACTGATCCAGTGATTGCTGAGGAAGTCAGAATCACTTTTACCACTCTGTTAGCTGCCCTGGTGTCAGCAGAAGATATTTAAGCTTTCCTGCTCAGGGCATTTCAGTGCCAGGCTCTTACAAGCACTCCCAGCTCGGCAGGTTGAGCTGACCATGGGGGCAGTAACCAGTGCTTTGTCTGATTCCCTTTCCTTAACAATAGCGAGTCTTGTCACTCTTTTCCCTTCTGCTGCCATTGAAACCGCATCCAAAACCACATTTTCTCCCTCAGTCCAGGGAATGTCTCATAAATCTCTCCCCGCCTGAGTCTGGAGCTCTGTCACTTGAATGCAGTCATGGGTTTCTTCCCAGCCCCCTCTCCAGGCTGTTCAAACAGGAGGCTGGGTTAAACCCTTCCCCTGTCCTCAATTCTAAATCCTCCTGTGCCACTGAACAAGTTTAGTACTGTAATAACCGAGCTCTGCTCATCCATTTGGAGGCTCTTTTGATGTACAAAGTTTTAATTTGATGCCAGACTTGAACAATAGGAGATCCTCCTGCCATCAGTTTTTGGGCCTCAGTTCCCATTAAAGGTGTGGATGCAGACAATGAGGCCACTCTGGACACTGGGTTAAACATTTTAGCATAAGAATTCATTTGGCATGACCCTGTTTAACATTCACATACAATTAAAATTTCTTTTCTGATTATGGAAGAGCCATGGCTGGGGCATCAGTCATTTTGTTTTTTCATTTTCTCAAGTTTTGTTCTCTTTCTCATGTCCATACATTGACATTGAAGGTATCTGGGGTTAAAAAGTCCTACAATGTTCTTGCAAGAACAGAAAATCCTCAATCCAGGTCCTGCAATTCCCTAATAATCCTAAAAATCGTTATAGCTCCTTTTTAGTGCTGGGTAACATTACTTCTGAGATTTCCCCAGACCCTCTCTGGGTCAATTCACCACAAACTTTCAGTCAAAATAGGTCCCAAGTATTTACTTTTTCTCCACTATTTGCAGCCATTGCACAGAGGCTTCTTCTTCTTGTCTTCTTCTTGTCAAGAAGAAGAAGCACTTCTACTTGTCCTCCTTATTGGATCAAGTCATCCACATCCTGCATTAAGCCAGTCCCTGGGGGTGAGGTCAATTCCTTTGATATTTCCTGCAATTTATTTATGTGCCTGAATAAGGCCGGTGCTTCCATGCATCCCTGCAGAAGGACCGTCCATGTCTTGAGCATTTTCCCTTCTACCTCTTGTTCCCACTCAAAGGCAGAATTTTGTTTCCATCCTCTCTAAGTGGGCAGATCCCCAGAAAGCATCTTTTGCATCAAGTTCTGAATGGCAGCAGTGTGAGGAGGGCACCTGGTTCAGGCTGGTGTAAGGATCTGAGAGTGTGGGGTGCCTCGGTTTCATCATCTCATTTCTTCTTGGGTCCTGCAGCATTCTGTGGATTCCATTGGATTTCTTGTTTGGCAGGATAGGAGCATTCTAGGGAGCCATCCCTGGCTCCCCAAGCCGTGCCTTGAGCAGGACTCCCAGACAGGCTGTGAGCCCTTCCTTCCCTCCCTTGGAACAGGGGATTGCTTTTCCACACCTCTTGTCCTGGTTGCTTCAAGGAAATTTGGAGAGGCTCCATATCTAATTTTGCCAATTTCCCTGGGGCTGCCCACACTTGTGGGTTCACTTCAGCCATGGCTCTGCCAGACATTTGACACAGAGGTACAACAGAACCAGCCTCTATATCACCTTTTGCGATATTAATTTGCGTTCACAATTTAGTCATCAAATCCCTTCCCAGTAAATTACAATCACAATTGTGAGCAAATAAAAGGTCCTCCATTTCCAACC